CATAAGATCTTATGCAAAATTATATACACATACATGACCCCAAATAAGAGTGTATATATACATACATACACACAAAGATGGATTAAACATGCTATATTGCATCTTGCTTTTTACCACTACTACATAGAAATGCTGACTGATTCACCCAAACACTCCTAAAGTGAGTTTTTAAGTCCATAATTTAAAAAGTACTAAGAAGGGCGCCTGGGTGGCTCATTCAGTTGAGTGGCCGCCTCTTTATTTTGAATCAGGTCATGATTCCAGGGTTGGGGGATCGAGTCCTGTGTTGGCCTCCATGCTCACAGCACGGAGTCTACTTGGGATTCTCTCTTTCCCTCTCTTTCTGCCCCTCCCTCACACTTTCTCCCCAAATAAATATAATAAACATTTCAAAAATTTAAAAAACTCTTTTTATTTAAAGAAAAATTTTTTAAATGTTTATTTATTTCTGAGACAGAGAGAGACAGAGCATGAGCAGGGGAGGGGCAGAGAGAGAGGGAGACACAGAATCCAAAGCAGGCTCCAGGCTCTGAGCTGTCAGCACAGAGCCCAATGCGGGGCTCTAACTCACAACCGCAAGATCATGACCTGAGCCACCCAGGTGCCCCAAAACTCTCCTTTTTAAAAACCTCACTTTTGGGGTGCCTGGCAGTCTGTCAGTTAAGTGACTGACTCTGGATTTTGGCTCAGGTCATGATCTTACAGTTGTGAGATCCACTGTGCAGAGCCTGCTTAAGATTCTCTCCCTCTTTCTGCCCTCCCCCTGCTTGTGTGCATGTGCCTGTGTGCTCTTAAAAACTCAAAAAATATAATAAATAAAATTTAAAAGCCTCACTTTTATGTTCTCATTTGATAATTAATCTACTAACATTTTAAATTTCATCTTGGGTGCTTTTGGTCATTTATGTTTTTCTAGGAAATTATCCATTTCCTCTAGGTTTTCCAATGTGTTGCTTATACAGCTGTATGCAGCATTTTTTTTAACGTTTATTCATTTTTTGATAGAGATAGAGCGTTGAGTGGGGGAGGGGCACAGAGAGAGGGAGATAGAATCGGTCGCAATCTCCAGGCCCTGAACTGACAGCACAGAGCCAGAGGCCGGGCTAGAACTCACGGACCATGAGATCATGACCTGAGTGGAAGTCTGACGCTCAACCGACTGAGCCACCCAGATGCCCCTGTATGCAGCATTTTAAAGTGAACATCTTTCTAGATCTTCATCTTATTTCGCTGCTTGGCAGCATTCAAGATAATTGAAGACTGTACTTCTAAGTTTTGAGGGTTTTTTCTTTTAACATTTATTCATTTTTGAAAGAGAGTGAGAGAGCATGAGTGGGGGAGGGGCAGAGAGAGAGACAGACAAAGAATCCAAAGCAAGTTCCAGGCTTTAAGCTGTCAGCACAGAGCCTGACATGGGGCTCGAAACCACGGACTACGAGATCATTACTTGAGCTGAAGTCGGACGCTTAGTTGACTGAGCCACCCAGGTGCCCCTAAGTTTTTGAGTTCCTTAAATCTGTTGAATGGGTGGTGTTGATCCCTATCTTCAGTGTTATGAGGCAGAGGAATGTATGACAGATACTAATGGAAAATTACAGGAAATTCAAAAATTTAGTGAATTATTTCTTGACATTTTTTATTTTCCCTCTAGTACAGGGTTCATCTCCGTAATTATGCAATTTACTACCCTTTTCCTCATTTCTATATCATTTTGGGAAATTACAGCCTTATAATAGAGATCAGGAATTTGCTAACATTGTGGCTGATCTATTGGACAACAGTAAATATTGAATTTGACAATAGAGAATAGAGTCACAGATACACTCTTTTTATAAGCAAATATTTAAACCAAAGGACAATTAGTGGGTGATGTCATCTCTGACTAACAACATAGGTATGCCTCTCTGAACAGATTTTCAATGTCCTTCAAGATCATAACTAATATAAAATGACATAATACAATTGCTTACAATATGGATTTTCTACTTTTTATATTAAAATACTGCTTGCTAGAACATGACTCTACTAAACTGGATTTCTCCAGAAGATAAAAAATTTCACTATCTGGGGGCGCCTGGGTGGCTCAGTCGGCCGAGCGTCCGACTTTGGCTCAGGTCACGATCTCGCAGTTCATGGGTTCGAGCCCCGCATCAGGCTCCGTGCTGATGGCTTGGAGCCTGTAGCCTGCTTCGGATTCTGTGTCTCCCTCTCTCTCTGCCCCTTCCCCACTCATGCTCTGTCTCTGTCTCTCAAAAATGAATAAACGTTAAAAAAAAATTAAAAAAATTTTTCACTATCTGAACAATGTAAGATAAAGTGAGCTTCCAGGAAAAGATCATCACAAACTAAATCACAACTTCAGATGATGCAGTATAGCTAAAACAAAACAAAACAAAACAAAACAGCCATTGAGTCTTCTACAGTCCAGCCTCTGATGCAAAGGGATTCCCTGGCTAGCAAGACAAACCATGTTCCTTTAATTTTCCTCATACTTTAACAAATTAAATTATGTAGTGAATTATAGTCATTAAACTTGAAAAATCTTTCAATTAAATGGAAAAACTTCCCATGAGAACTCTCCAAATATCAAAAAGAGAGTCAAGGTATTTTCTGCATAAATTTTCCACCTGGATATACCACTCAAAGTGCTAAACTTTTAACTATTTGAAGTGGAAACTGGTATCACAAAATGCAACACATATCCTGCCTTCTTAAATGCCACGTACTACCCATCTTGATTCGAATTCATCAGTAACATTACTTGGATTAAGTTGATCACAGGGATGCTCTCAGGGAGCAGGATCCTACGTTAAATTTTAAGCTGCTATACTTTTAATGTTCACATTAAATTTACTTTTTAGTTTTCTCCCCCTGCTATCAGCTGTTACATTTTATTGTTTACCTGACACTAGCAGGACCCTGTTGATACTTGCGATTTTTTTCAGGAGCATAAATCAGATAACCAAACTTACTAGAATTAGTTGTGAAGTAATAAGCAGACTCTGAAGATGGGGACCTGAGGCACTCAATTCTTTTTTTTTTAATTATTTTTTAAATTTACATCTAAGTTAGTTAACATATAGTGCAACAATGATTTCAGTAGATTCCTTAATGCCCCTTATCCGTTTAGCCCATCGCCCCCCACAACCCCTCAGTAACCCTCTGCTTGCTCTCCGTATTTGAGTCTCTTATGTTTTGTCCCTCTCCCTGTTTTTATATTATTTTTGCTTCCCTTCCCTTATGTTCATCTGTTTTGTATCTTAAAAGTCCTCATATGAGTGAAGTCATATGTTTGTCTTTCTCTGACTTACTAATTTTGCTTAGCGTAATACCCTCCAGTTCCATCCATGTAGTTGCAAATGGCAAGATTTCATTCTTTTTTATTGTGAGGCACTCAATTCTTAGATGTTTCTAGTAGGTAGTTAATAAAATATCCACCATAATTTAAGAACCCTATTGAGCAGATTTTAAAACTCTCTTTGCAGAGGGAGAGTCTGATAGCATGTTTCTAATGGAAAACTATATGAATCACAATAAGGAAGGCAGAACTATATAGATCAGCAACTGGCTTACGTAGCTTCCCATCAACTTATTAACAAATTAGGTTACAAAATACAAAAGCAATTTAATGAATCATCATATGAGGCATTGAACTCAAAGTTGAACTGTCATGTGCTTTCATAATACCACTTGCTTAATTACCCATATGAATGAATCATTAATACCTCAAGCCTGCTCAACAGTTTTGGATACCTGATATTTATGTAATGGTGTGCTCATTTGCTGAGTAAGGCAATGAGTAAGGAGAAGCAAGCCTCAAAACAATCACGTGACAATGAGAGTTTTTTCTTTAAAGTTCTAGAAAACCAAGGTATGTATTTCAAGAGCTGTTATCTTCTGTTGTAACAATTCAGAAGCAGTTGGTTATCAGATATTCATCTTTTAAAACAGACATGATGGAATTCTATAAATTTACAAGAGGAAGTGACGGCAACTGATAATAATGCTTATGTAAAGGGAGTCATTAAAAAAACAGCTTGCTACCAGCCTCAGCCCCTTTTGAAAAATTTGCACACGTAGGAAAATATTTGGACATAGCTCTTTAAAAATGTGGGGAGCACAAACTATTCTGAGAGTACAGCTCTCATACTTTTGGGGTGTTAAAATTACCTTCTATGAGATAATTAGTTTTCAATTCTTTATATACATTTAGCTGACAAAACTTAAAGTTGATAATTTCATTTTAGTCTCCACATTTTTAGGAAACTTTAAGTATGGGAACCACTAGAATATACATGTTGCTGTGCTGCAGTAAATTATTTTAAAGAAAAGCATTTCACAGCCACAGATCATGGATATTCAAACTTTTGGTAAGGAAGATTTTTCCCAAAATCTTGTGATCATCTATGGAGAAATAATTGTTTACTTTGACAGGGAAGCCCCTCAAGAATGTTGAAGAGAAGGTTTTAGGAAAGAACACCCAGAGCCATAGTGACAGCAGTGGTAGACTTCTCCCTCTTCACACATGAGGAAAGATTAACAATTTTGGACACATACCTTGTAAAACTGTTCAAAACCACAACTACATTTCTAACCCTAACTTTAAAACTCCTGCTTTTGGGGAGCCAGGATGGCTGAGTCAGTTGAGCGTCCGATTCTTGATTTCAGTTCAGGTCATGATCTCGCGGTTGCTGGGTTTGAGCCCCGCGTGGGGCTATGTGCTGATACCAAGAAGTCTGCTTAGAATTCTCCCTCCCTCTCCGCCCCTCTCCTGTTCTCTCTCTCTCTCGGTCTCTCTCTCAAAATAAATAAAAATAAAACTTAAAAAAAAAAGGTTTTAAAATTCCTGCTGTTGGTCACAGAGGCAAGATCACACAATAGAATCTACTGACGTTACAAGTAATAAATTACAAATCTAGGTACCAGACTTAGTGCAATGTCACGTACATACATGTGCTACCTATTAGCATATCTTTGTATATAAAAAAGACACAGTAAACTGACAGGACTGTACCTTTAATAGACTTAAGGATAGCTATTAATAGAAGAACTGTAATATACAATAAAACAAAATAGACTCTTAGGCTGAAAAATTACAAAAGTTTTAAAGATTCTTCAGTAAGTTTATTTTGCAAACTTTTTGTGTTTTATGTTTTATTGGCTTAGACTGTTTGAAGAGAAAAATGTATACCATTTTGAACACTGAAGTGTTTATCATTTTACTATGAATTCAGATATGCTTTATGTTTATTTCTAACTGAACTTCAAATTGCAGCAGCTCATGAGTTTAGTATAAGTATTCTTGCCACCCCATCCCATCCTGTCATTGAGTCAAAGAGTTCAAGATACATATACAAAACACACACCTAAACAGACACAAACAAGACTTTTGTAAAGTAAACACATTTTTTATAATGTAAATAGCTGTTCCTTTTTGGAACTTTCTTTATCCAGTTCAAGTCTTTTCTGAAACTGGGATATTCACACTTATTAGACACAATCTTTATAAAAGCAAAGCATTTATCTCTTTGAAAACTCAAGTAATTCTTGAGAGCAACATGTTTCTTACTGATCTAAAAAGAACAGAGTGTGGAAGGCCAAAGAGGAAAAATCACAGAAGAGGACTGGAAAACAATATATTTAATAGTGCACAGAGAAAATTTCTAACTGTAGATTCTATTGAAAATATTGATATTCAAAGGAATAGCTTTGGACACACTGCCAAAAACTTAGATTTTTCTCAATTAAAACCAAGAGTGTTGATTTATTTAGGAAAATAACATTAAGTCTTTGAAGTAAGAATGAAAGGGTTGTACAATTTAATTTCTATATAAATGATTGTTTGAATATACAAAGTATCAAATATAAACAGTAGTGTAGCAAGAAAATAAATTGGTAGAAATAATTACTCAACCAATAGCAATAATTAAGACCACCATTTGAAAGATCTTCTATACACAAAGAATGAAAAAGTATTATTAGGAGATTTTACAGAACACAACTGAACTCAATCCTAATTCATTACTATTATACTTCTTTCTTCTTCAGTATTAGTGGACCCACATTATCTCCTGTTAACTCATTGTGTTTATTATGTGAACCATCACAGGCAGGAAACTAGAAAGGAAAAAGAATTACAAGTATTATTTTAAAAATGATTCAATAAGTAGAAATATTTGTGAAATGCTCTTATAAAGAAAGCACATTACTTTGAAAAACAAATCACCAGACAGCTTTCCTAAGTAATGTATATTCTACACCTAACCCAACTGCATTCCAATATCACAGCAAATCTAACAACTTTAAACAGTTAATTTATTATTTGATAAATATTTTAAATAAAAAGCTTTGGATTGGTTATTCCAAGAGTCAATAAAACAGGCTTAAAGGGGGATCAAAATAATCTCTTGTTTTCTGTGGAGCACCAAATTAGAGCTCACCTCTTCACTTATTTAAATTTGAAAAGAATGTACAGTTGACCCTTGAACAACACAGGTTAGAACTGTGTGGGTCTACTTAACTGTGGATTTTTTTCTTTTTTGATAAACACAGTATAGTACTGTAAATGAATTTTCTCTTCCTTATTGTTTTCTTACTAACATTTCTTCTCTAGCTTCATTGTAAGAATGAAGTATGTAATATATCTAACATGCAAGATAAATGTTGACTGTTTATGTCATTAGTAAGGCTTCTGGCCAACAGTAAGCTAATAAGTTTTGGGGGGAGTCAAAAGTTATACCCAGATTTGACTGTGCCGGTGGTTGGTGCCCCAACCTCCATGTTGTTCAAGGGTCAACTGTAATTTAAATTCAAAATACATTATTTCATGTTTTCTTACCATGAAACTCACACATATTGTAAAATTTTTGAAAAAATTTTAAAGTGAATTTAAAAATATTCACTCATAAGTAACAATAATCAAGATTTTTATATAATTTTTCCTCTGCATTTACTATGTGTATTTCTTTTTTAAAAAACAAAATTGGGGTCATACCGTACTGTGCTTTTATTAATTACATCATGCTCTCCTGTCATTAAAATATTCTTTAAAAACATTACTTGTAATGGCTTCCTAATATCCCATAATTTGTATTATACCATTCTTTAATCACATTCCCATTATCGGACACCTAGATTATTTCCAAAACTTTGCTATTACAATAAATGTTGTGATGAACATTACTATGCTTAAAACTTCAAATAACCTATGATCAAAGTACTCGAAGAAAACAGATCTCACCAGCTACTTATAATACTCATCACTCCATACTTGTTTTTATTATTTCCACATTAAAAATCATCCATAATTATAGCTGCCATTTATTAGCTCATCTATATATAAGGCCCCGTACATATAGCATCTACTAAATCCTAAAAAATGTCTGTGATATTGATATATTATCAGAAAACAAAAAAACAAAAACCTAAAACATCAGAGATTAAAGATTCAGTAACCTGCCCAACCGAAGTCATACTGTAAGGGGCAGACATCAGTTTTGAAAACATCAGATTTCTATTCTTCCTTTTCTAATGTAGGTAAGTATCCACCATAAAATGCAAACTTTAATTTAGGAATATAAATTTTCAGTACTGAATACTGTGGAAAAATCTTTCATCTCACAGAACCTCAAAACTAAGGATTTAAAAAGCAGAACAATTCTAACTGCACAAAGTTTCAGAGTACGTGCAAGCGGACATCTTACCGTCTTAGAACGCCAACACCTACAATAAGCTGCTTTAGTGAGACACAAATCTTCAATGTTTATTTCATTCACCACTTTGGGATTTTCCTTTTGTATTTTAAGATTAATCAAGCTATCCTTCTGTTGTTTCTTCTTCGGGAGGAATGGACGAACTGCAAGGTAGCCAAGTAGTGCAAGTACACCAAGGAAAGGCAATAACCGAAGCCATTCTGAAACTAAACACGTACAGATTTAACAGTCTGCAGCACTCTTGTAATAGAACTCAAACAGCACATGTCATGCTTAAGTTTATTCTTTACCTATTCTTCTCACATTACTTCTCACATTAATTTCTTACCTATAAGTCTATGAATAAATAACAAAGTCAAGCCACCTATATCTAAGACCACCACTCTGATTTGTGAGCTAACTGAAGAGTTGTGAAACTGGAACACAAAGTTTTGAGAAATGTATCTTATATCAAGTATCCTATTTCATTATCCCTGACCCTGCCCTCCAAGACAGTACTGAGTGCTCCACAAGGCATTTAATGAACACTTAGGTAATAAGAGGTATCTAACAATGAGAACACCAAGTATATTTGTGTTTATCTTTATTTTTATTTCAGAAATAACAATCATAATTACAAAGTTCAATGTGTGATATATTTTATAGGTTTAGAAAACATTTCCACCATGTCTAAAATCATACAACAGAATACCCAAGAATATTTTTTTAATGTTTATTTATTTTTGAGAGGGAGAGACAAAGCGTGAGAGGTGGAGGAGAGAGAGGGAGACACAGAATCTGAAGCAGCTCTGAGCTCTGAGCTGTCAGCATAGAGCCTGATGTGGGGCTTGAACTCATGGACCACAAGATCATGACTTGCGCTGAAGTTGGATGCTCAACCAACTGAACATGAAGACAGAACATGTCTTCAATGCTTTAATTTACATTTTTGGTAAGACACAGTAATTCCTAAAGAAATGTTATCTAAAAGCTACTATTTTAAAGAACTAATTAAAATTTTCATACACTGAATGTTCTCATTATTAGATACCTCTTATTCCCTAAGTGTTCATTAAATGCCTTGTGGAGCACTCAGTACCTTCTTGGAGGGCAGGGTCGGGGAATATTAAGTAATATAAGTAAAATGGTCCCTATGTCTATGAAGACAAACACATAAGGAAACCAAGATAAACATTTCAGCATGCACTCATCAAATGTTGGCTAGTGCCCTCCCTCTTCGGGGCTCTGTAGAGAATCCTTTCTGTTCTTAAATGTGATCATTTGACAATCTTCACTGAGTACTTACCTGATATCTTGCTCAGCACTACGTAAAAATTGCTTAGTCAAGAAAGAGAGAAAAACTAAAGATGTGCCAAGGCATGCTAATTAATGTTAGTAACAGACTATGCTAAGAGTACCACTGTATTATCTTATTTAACTCTGTTAAGCTGTGTTAGCTTAAAACAGCTGTATTTGGAGGGTACCACTATTATTCCCATTTTCATGTGAGTAAACTGCAGCTCCATAAGCAGGTTTAGTCCAGGACAACAAATCCAGTCTAGTTCTCAATCATGATAAATAAAATCCAACAAATTTAAAATTTCATCTGTCCTTCTCTTGGTAAGACTATAATATAATTGTTCTTACACTTAACTATTAAAGAAAAAATTTTTAATTTTTAATGTTTATTTATTTATTGCAAGTACATGTGCAAGAGAAAGAGAGAGAGACAGAGAGAGACAGAGAGAGAGAGGGAGAGGGAGAGGGAGAGGGAGAGGGAGAGGGAGAGGGAGAGGGAGAGAGGGAGGGAGAGAGACAGAGAAAATCCCAAGCAGGTTCCGCGCTGTTAGCACAGAGCCTGATGCAATGTGGGGCTTGATATCACCAACTGGGAGATCATCACCTGTGCAGAAATAAAGAGTTGGATGCTTAACTGACTGACCCATCCAGATGCCCCAAGATAATTTTAGATTATAATAAGAGCTATGAAGGAAACAAACAGAATGATAAAAGAAAGAAAAAGATTATCCTAAGGACCAAGCAGGATAGGTTGACTCCAACTTTCGGTAAGGAAATCAGGAAGGAAAAAAAGATCTTTAAGTCAAGACCTAAAGACAAGAAGGTGGGGGGCTCAAAGACTTGAGAAAAAAACTTTCAAGGCACAAGATTATATGTAAAAGAAGCTTCCAACTTCACAGGATTGTTGGGAGGAGCGAATGAAGTTGGAAACCACTAGAAAAACTACAGAACACTATGTGAAAGAAAGCTACTGATACCTTCTGCCCTGAAACTACAGTTATGTAAATATCTGTCTCCTCCCCAACTCCCTGTCCTCTAACAGAGACTTATAGAAACCAAGACTTCAATTAATTTTAACTGAATTGAGTCTGTACTCCATTACACTGACATTTTTTTTTAAATGTTTATTTTTGAGACAGAGAGAGACAGAGCATGAACAGGGGAGGGTCAGAGAGAGAGGGAGACACAGAATCTGAAACAGGCTCCGGGCTCCGAGCGCTCAGCACAGAGCCCGACGCGGGGCTCGAACTCACGGACCGTGAGATCATGACCTGAGCCAAAGCCGGATGCTCAACCGACTGAGCCACCCAGGCGCCCCTAAGATAACTCCTACTAGGTATGCACTTGTTTGCCTTTATTCAAGGCCTATGAATGATAACAGTGTAAGGTGACAGATAAGAATTCTGTTTAAAATATTTAAGAAAAAAACTTTAAGCACCCTCAAGAAATATAAAACCTCACAGACAGATCAGGTGATAAGACAGGTGAAGATACAAAAATTACAAGACACAGTTCCTACCCCGAAGAAGCTTTTCACCTAGTATGGACTACAGATCTATAAGAAAAGAATTAAGTACTGTATGGTATGTGCAATTATAAATAAGCAATACAGAAGACATGATTAACTCTGCAGGGATGAGCAAAGGCTTTACATAGAGGCTGGCACCTAACCAGGTTTCTGAAAGATGAATAAGACTATAGGAGTCCACTATGCTGACCGCTCAGAGCCTGGAGCCTGCTTTGGATTCTGTGTCTCCGTCTTTCCCCCCTTTCCCACTTGCGTGCATTCTCTCTCTCTCAAAAATAAATAAACATCAAAGAAAAATTTTTTTAAAAAGACTATAGGAGTCCATAGGCTTATGGGAGGGGGAGCTACCTTTCACACAGAAGAAACAGCATAAACAAAGGGACAGAGATATAATGTGCATGAAAAGTTGGGGGAAGTAAGCACAACAATATTGCTGGAATATGATGAAATAGGAGAGGGACTGTAGAAGTGGTCAGGTGCCAGATGATAAAAATCAATAGGTAGGTAATAATCTACCTTGTACATAAAAGGTAAACCACCAATATTGAGAATATCACTGCATATTAATATAACTGGAAAGCTGTTCATTTATGAAATCAGATGGAATTAAGGTATCAGATGGACGATGGACTAGTGGAGAGACAGAGGGAAGGGCAGAAAGGGATGTTAGTGGGAGGGCAAGAGGCAAGACAATCTGTTAGAATTCCACTGAAATAATTCCCCCCAAAATAATGCAAGTTTAAACTAAGGCAGTAGCCATTAAAGCAGAGGACAAATGGAACCCCCAAAACTGCCTGAACGGTGTATGTGTGCATGCATTTTTTGAGGAGACAGTCTGATGCTTTTACTGGGATCACAGAGCAGGTCTGTGATCAATCTTCACATACCTTGAAACTTAAGAACCACTAACTCAAGTAGTAAAATCAATAGGATTGGGTGAGTGACCAAGTATGGAGCATAAATGGAAGAAGTGAGGGTCCTTCATGATTCCCAGATTTCTGGTTTCATTATCTGGATGAATGGAGATACTGGTCTCTAATTCAAAAACAAAACAAAACAGAACATAACAAGGGCAGTTTTAAGCAGCAAGAGACCAGTGCAGTGTTGTAGAAGAAAGGGGAAAATATGAAGGAAAATATTCCTTAAAGAATATAAGGGAGAGACTAAAGGTCAACAGTTAACAGCAAGAAAATAGGAATACTGAAGGATTGCATAAGTCATAGCTTTCTTTGAAACAGTGAAATAGTCTAATGTGGAAGTTGCTCTTCAGAGCCTAAAAGATGCCATCTCTCGGGGCACCTGGGTGGCTCAGTTGGTTAAGCATCCAACTCTTGATTTCAGCTCAGGTCATGATCTCACAGTTTGTGGGATTGAGCCCCATGTCATGCTCTGCGCTGACAACATGGAGCCTGCCTGGGATTCTGTCTCCCTCTCTCTACCCCTACCTCTCTCTCTCTCTCTCTCTCTCAAAAATAAACAAACATTAAAAAAAAAAAAAAGATGCCAACTCTCTCTGCTCTGCCAGAAAGACAAGAAAGATAAAGAAAAGATATCACTGAGACACCTACAGGGGAAGTGGTTTACTAAGGGATAGCTTTGTTTCATTTAGGGTAAGGAGGTGCATATATGAAAAATTATCAAGTAGACAAGCCAGGGAGCACCTGGGTGGCTCAGTCTGCTAAGTGTCAGACTCTGGCTCAGGTCACAATCTCACGGTTCATGAGTTCGAGCCCCACGTCGGGCTCTGTGCTGACAGCTCAGAGCCTGGAGCCTGCTTCAGATTCTGTGTCTCCCTCTCTCTCTGCCCCTCCCCTGCTTGTGCTCTGTCTCTCTCTCAAAAAAAAAAAAAAAAAAAAAAAAAAAAAAAAAAAAAAAAAAAAAAAATTAAAAAAAGTTTTTTAATAAAAAAAGTAGACAAGCCAGGAGTAGAAGATAACAGTGTGAGAGAAGATCAGGGGTTATGGGGTGGGGTAAGTATTTTTGGCTGTAATTAAATCAAGGACATGGCTGACCTCAACATTCAATCCACTAAAAATGTACCCAGTTAGGCAACATTTTGATTATTCATTTGAATGTAAAAGGCTTGAATTTCCTTAAATTTTTTCTTTTACTTCAAATTTTCACTTCAGAAAGATTTTCTTCCTCTACCAGTGAATTTCTCCTATTTCCAATTTTTTAAAATCACCTGTTTCTAAGTTAAAAACAAAAATTAGGGGTGCCTGGGTGGCTGAGTCGGTTCAGCATCTGACTTTGGCTCAGTTCATGATCTCGCCATCTGTGAGTTCAAGCCCCACGTCAGGCTCTGTACTAACAGCTCAGAGCCTAGAGCCTGCTTCAGATTCTGTGTCTCATTCTCTCTCTGTCCCTTGCCCGCTCATGTTCTGTCTCTGTCTCTCTCTCAAAAATAATTAATAAAACATTAAAAAAAAAAACCACACTAATACTAAAATACCAAGCAGGATTCTAATATGCATTTTGCAATATTCTATTTCCCACTATTAAGACAAACAACAAATAGACTAAGAAGGTAGAGTAAAAGAACCAGTACCATCAGACAAACAAAACGTACACAGAAAAGAACATTTCAAAGCAACCTGAGTAGCAATTTTAACATAAATTTTTTTTAAGTTTAAATGCTGTTAAAAGAAGGTATAGTATCTCCTTAGAGAAACAGAATGTAGCTTAAGACAGGGCAGATTCAAGACAGGCTACAGGGGCTCCTGGGTGGCTCAGCTGGTTAAGCATCAGACTGTTGATTTCGGCTCAGGTCATGATCTTGCTGTCCTGAGACTGAACCCCATGTAGGGCTCCGCGCTGGGAATTGAGCCTGCTTAAGATTCTCTCTCTCCCTCTCTCTGTGCCCCTCCCCCAATTGCATACACTCTCTCTGAAAATAAACTTAAAAAAAAAAAAAAAAGGCTACTTATTACACCCTATTCCTGACCAAGATATATAATCAAATACTATGATAAAAAACATTTGTAAAAGTACAATATAGATACACATGGCTCTCGATGAGGAATTACATTCTAAGAAACTAGGACAGAATTTTTTCCCTTCTCAAAATGTGGCATGTAATGATACTATAAAAATAATATTGGCAACTTGGCTGCTGATACTTTAATAACAGATTTTCTTGTGTACCGTTTATAGGTTAAGACACAGAAATGATTTCTATTTCTGGACTGTAAAAAGAGAAAAGTAAAATCTTTTCAATGGATGGTTTTACTATTACCACTTAAAACCTAATACAGACTGTTCAGGACCAAAATCCAATAGAATGAAATTAATGATCAATTTAAAAATCTTTTTTACATTCATTATTATGAATAGAACAGTGTCTCAGTGTCCAGAACATTTCCTGGACCAAGTCCTCAATAAATACCTGATGACCTGAGAAAATTTACACTGCAAGGTAGTTAGATGGCAGAAAATGTTTTAATGAGGCTGAAATTGTTCCCCACAAAGCCTAGTATAATCTTTAAATCTTTAATTACACTAACTTTTAAATATAGTTGGTCTAACTAGGAAGAGGGGAAAAAACTTTTGTAACTTATATAACTTATAGTAACTATGTAAATATCTTCCCAAATTCTCAAAAACAGTTTTCTAAAATTCTTTAATTTTTTAGAAATAACTTTTATTATTTACGTTATTATTAATAAATGCAACTTTCTAGTTTGAACTTTATTATTTCTTATACATTCCTACTGAGAAACCTCACCTTTGGTTCATTTCTTTAAAAAAAAAAAAGATACATTTTACATACAAGAAAATAAACAGATCTCAGGTGTTTAGCTCTCAGTTGTGACAAATATACCCCAGCAGCCTCTACTGAAAATATGTAAAAACATGCAAAATCCTCCATCACCCAAGAAAGTATTCTTCTGCCCTTTCTAGTCTATCCTTCCACCACTGATGTCTATCACTAAAGCTTTTTCACTCAACTTAAAGTTTTTGAGATTCATCCAGTGGAACAGTAATTCATTCCTTTTTATTGCTAACCAGTATTCCACTTTGAGTATACTATAATTTGTTTATCCACTCTCCTGTTGTCAGATATTCGGGTTGCTTCCAGTTTGGAACTATTATAAATAAGGCTACTATAAAACATGCTTGTAGAAGTGTTCTTGTGGATATAGGTTTTCAACTCTGTTCCACTTCTAAATTCTTTGTTCAAAAGTGGCCCTTTCTGGATAAACACAACTAATGCTTTTGATGCTGTCAGCTCTGACATGTTTGTGTTACTCTGGAAAGAATATTATGATGGTCTTGGGAGTCATTGCCTTGTCTTTAGGAGCAAAACCATTATTTTTCAAAGAACCAAACAGGGTCAAGAAGGGCAAAGCTATATGTTCAAAGTTTCATAGCAAGCTTTTAAATCCAGAAGCAAACTGTTTCTGACTTTCGAATAGGAAGATTTTATTGTTGTTGTCATGCTTTAAAAGTTTACACAACAGGGAAAGTTTTTTTTAAAGGTCAAAGTATTGGAATAGACTATACTTCCAAGCAATATACAAACTTACTTTAAAAGCCTCTCTGTTAAAAATGTGGCCTAAATAAAAATAGATAAGTTGTTTCTGATAGATAAGGACTGTCTGTAAATAGTGTATGGTGATTAAGGATCTCCAAGTGTTTACTAAGAATGCAGAGTCATCATGAGACAGTCTATTGCTTTAAAAAACCACTAGATCTAAATAGGGAAGAAAAAACAGGCAAAAATAATATAAACTGTAACTTTGTTTGCTCTAGTTTTCACAGATAGAAAATGCAAACACTTTTGGTCTCCTAGACATTTTTTTTTTATTTTAATGTTTATTTATTTTTGAGAGAGATAGAGTGTGAGTGGGGGAGGGTCAGAGAGAGAGAGGGAGACACAGAATCCCAAGCAGGCTCCAGGCTCAGAGCTGTCAGCACAGAGCCCGATGTAGGGCTCGAACCCACCAATTGTGAGCTTATGACCTGAGCCGAAGTCCGACACTCAACTGACTAAGCCACCAAGGCACCCCTGGTCTCCTAGACATTTTAACAATTGCTGAAAAGTTACCTTTCAGGTTTTTGACTCAACAGAAGTCTAAGTATGGATTCTGTAAGTAGCTCAATCAAGACAGATGTAATTAGCTACTAAAATCTACTCTGAAGGGGAGACTCAGAGCAGAAATTGGTCATTGGAAATTTTCTTCCATAGTGCTCCAAAACAGATTCTGCAACTATTATATTGTCACCATCCAGTATGAAACAGAATATCTCAATTTTTCATAGAGCAATTATTACAAACATGTTAATGTTTCCTAATAAACAATACAATGAGAACTAAAGTGTAGACACATTGTAATGGAACTTAAATATATGTTTTTAAGATACTTATCAGAGTTATCACTACTTCTGAGAATCAGTCCTCACTTTAAATATTTAACAGCTTTGAAGAAGTTACTATGTATTATTGATTTAAGGGGGGAAAAGGTTTGAGTTTCCTTAATGCCTTTAATAGAAATTAAATATTTGTTGACAGTGGAAATCTTTAAGGCAAAAATAAAAACAAAGAAAACTTCTAAAATCTAGCCACTAAATAAAACATCATACTTTCTATCTGCTCCAACTACATTCTATTCACAAAAAATTGAAACTAATATAAAACCAAATGTCACAAAATGATCATATTCTTTATTACTACTTTGGTGAATGCATTCAAGGGTATAATAAAAGGAGAAAAACTAACAATTGGTATAGGGCTACTTAACCACTGAATATTACAAATAAAATATATATACACGCAAACATTCCAAATTTCCAACTGCAGGGGAATGGTTAAGCCTACCATGATGTTACTCTAAAAGAAAACTATACAGTTGTTAGAAGATGAAGAACACGTTAAAATATATAAAGTTCTACAGTAAAAGCAATGATAAAGGGTTTAAAAAAGCCAAAATTGTATATAACTGACGAAAATCCATCAGAATAGGATAAAAGAAGACTTTGATGTTTATAAATACTTGATTTGACACATTTTTTCACTTTATGTTAGTTTTATGCGGCTTTCGATGTTTAGATATTTCTTCTTAATAACCGTTAATTATTCGGTTACTATACTTTCTATTTAATTACATGCTTTCAGGGGCACCTGGGTGCTTCAGTTGGTTAAGCAGTTAAGCATCCGACTTTGGCTCAGGTCATGATCTCACAGTTTGTGAGTTCAAGCCCCACATCTGGCTAAGGTCAGTGTGGATCCTGCTTCTGGTTCTCTTTCCCCTTCCCTCTCCCCCTTGAAATAAACCTAAAAAAAAAAAAAAATGCTTCCGATCAAACCGTAATTCAAACAATCTCTAGATTTGGAATGTCACCCAGTTCACCCCATCTAAATCTATTACTGGACTACCTCATTTTTTTAATACTATCCTTTTTTAGGGATAGTATTCTCTTAAAAAACAACCAAACAAAAACCTTCCCTGTATTAGGAGGTGAAATTCATCTCCCAATAATCTTCACTGATTTGGTCCTAGTTCTGTCTTTTGGTCTACACAGAATAAATGTTATTCTTCCACCAGTAAACCTTCAGCTACCATAAAACTCCAGACTGCTCCAGGCTAAACAACTCTATCTCAAAATTGTCTTCATGAATCATGTTTCATTCCCTGACATTGAAGACGTATGAGTTCAAAGTTTGCCGAATCAATATGGTTTTTGTTTTTTTCTCTCACCACCCTGATCAGTCTCAGTCTGGTTTACAAATATTCCACTTACAAAGTAACACTCCCAACAATGTCTCCCAAGTGTTGACTGCATTCTAGAAATTTTCGTCCTTTTGATGTGAAATCCTGAATTGTGGGTTCTTTTCTTGTACAGGAGGGATCTAAGTACAGAAAGTTATATATATTCATTAAATTTCACTTTCTAAAATCTGGTCCATCATACTAGCCTTTGAACCCCTTTTGGCTAACTGATCTTTCCTCAAGTTGCCTCCAGGCCCATAGTAACGGAGTTGGCCTAAAATGCCCCGGGGTAGTTCAAGTCTTCCCTATGGGAATGGAGGCTACTCTCCAATTTTGTTACCAAATAAAACTGCCATACACATATTGCGTGCCTGTTTCTCTCCCACGCACACACAAGCTGTGGGTAAAACAGCGCCGAGAGCTGGAAATGCCTAATTCACAGCACCTTAGATAGCTAGGACTTTAAAATAAAAAGCACACTGCAGTGACCGATGGAGATGAAAAATATGGGCCCGCCACAAATTCAGCACCTCCTCTGCAAAACCCTGGTCCCCCGTCACAGAAGAACACTGCAGAGCCACCAGAACAAGGACGGAAGGACGGAAGCCCCCAAGAACCCACAGGAGGAATCACTCGCGCTCCACGGCGGCTGCGCCAGCGCTCGCCCCCGCCCTCTGCGCGCAGGGTCACGGGGTAACGGGCCACTCGCCAAGCCCCGCCCCGTCCCTTAGCCAGAGGATGTTTAGACCACCCCCGACTCCCACCTTGAGAAACTTGCAAGGACAGGGACTGACTGAAGGCGAGGGTTACCTGTGAGACTGGCGAACCCGGTAATGCTCTCGGGGACAGGGAGCCGCTTTAGATAGGCGGGGAGCTGCACCTTCACGATACGGGCCACGCTCTCCAGCACCATCCTCGCGAGCAGCGTCCACTCCCCTCTGAGACCGCGCCGCTCTCCGGCCAAGCTGCCGCGCCTGCGCCGAGAGGAGAAGCGGCCGGCGGGCGTTGCGGCCTGGGTCCCGCGGCCTGCAGGAGGGGGCGGCGCTGGGGGCCCACGGGGGAGAGGTGACCTGCTGGGCGCCGATTGGCAGCGGGCGAGTGACGTGCGCGCCCCGTGGACGCCGAGGGGGCGCGCGCGGCCGCGAGGTGCGGAGCCGCGGGAATGGATGAGTAGGGCCGCCCTCCGTGGAAACACGGTTTTGAAGAGGGCCTGCGTACACGCTGGGCCCTTCACATCTGTAGACGGTGGAGGCCAGGAGAAAGGATACTGTGTGCGATGAGGTAAAGCATGTGAGAGTGCTTTGTAACCGGAAAGTGCCTTTCAAAAGTGAGTTGCTCCTCTCGTCGCTTTTTACTTCGGCCGCTGTCGTCACGACCCCTTCTTCCTGGAACTGGTTGGGTACCTTGGCCCTAGCATTGCATACTCCTCTAAGAGCACCCTCCCCGTCGGCCCTGCGGTGCCCAACTCCGTTCCCTCGCCCCTGCAAGCCAGGTTTTTGTTTTTGTTTTTGTTTTTAAGTTAAAATACCTGAGCTACGAACTGCTTAAATTAAGCTTTGCCACTCGGCAGTTTTGTGCAACCCTGAGGGTTTTGTTTTGTTTTGTTTTGTTTTGTTTTGTTTTGTTTTGTTTTTTGCAGCTTAGATAGGACCCGTGATATTCCTTCTTTCGATACTTTCAGTTCCTTCTGCAGATGATCAGTTCTTTTTTCGGTTAACTAAAACTAGGAAAGTGTAAAGGAATATAAACCTTTAAAGCGACTTTTAGGGGCGCCTGGGTGGCGCAGTCGGTTAAGCGTCCGACTTCAGCCAGGTCACGATCTCGCGGTCCGTGAGTTCGAGCCCCGCGTCAGGCTCTGGGCTGATGGCTCGGAGCCTGGAGCCTGTTTCCGATTCTGTGTCTCCCTCTCTCTCTCCGTCCCTCCCCCGTTCATGCTTTGTCTCTCTCTGTCCCAAAAATAAATAAACATTGAAAAAAAATTAAAAAAAAAAATAAAGCGACTTTTATGGTGCAGGATTTCTACTATAAGCTAAAGTATCCGTGAAGATCTTTAGATTTTATTTTTATTAATATCTTTTTAAAAACTGAAGAGTGGAAAGAGACCGCTTCACTTCCTTGCAACACCTGCCTTGACATGACTTTGTTTCCTATTTTTACCAAAGTGAAATATCCCTAGTAATGCCCTTGGTGACTGCGTGTTGTGTATGTGGTGTGATATCTTAATAAGGTGCCTCCGTACAGTTCTGAGCTCCACCTGACTATTAACATATAATACCAACGAACTGATCATGGTCCGGTATTTCGTTTTGTGTGACTTAATGTTAACAGCTAGTTGTAATAAATACGTTTTATTCTTTATTTTTTCCCTTGTTATTTTCATTTTAAAGTGAGGAAAGGAAGCCATTTTTTAAAGTAACTTTTCGTTCTCTAGACTCTTTGATTTTTAATATCTGTGATGGGTTTTCACTAAAAAAAATAACCGTATGAGAGTTAGTTGAATTCAGATCTAGATAAACCAATTTTCTATTGTTTTACCTTGTTCAAAATCCAATTACATTGGAAATTCTATGAAAATGCTTAGATACAGGTTCATGAGCTAGAGCAATATAGAAGGTTATATACAAAGTGATGATCAAAAGGTTGTTTACATTAGGATTTCCTTTCCATTTCTTTTTGGGAACTTACTTTTGGTTTAGTGAAAGAAGGACCCTGAAGTTTGTTTGTTCTAAATGTAATATTCTCAAACATCCTTGTCCTCTGGACTGTTCTGTTAGGGGTTATCTTTAATAATCTCTGCTGATCATATGTAGAAATACCCTTGGGGAGATGATTGCGGTAGGAGTGTGTTGGGAGTGAGGGAAATGAAGGGAGGAAAGGCCTGGAGACAGCCACTAAATATTTGTTTCTCAATTAAAGGCTTTGTGGTCTTGACAAGGGCAAAACAAGCTGTGTTGAGTGAGATTCTTTAGGCTTCTGAAGTTTTTCTTTAAAGGAATTAAAAAATAAATACTTCAGGGGCGCCTGGGTGGCGCAGTCGGTTAAGCGTCCGACTTCAGCCAGGTCACGATCTCGCGGTCCGTGAGTTCGAGCCCCGCGTCGGGCTCTGGGCTGATGGCTCAGAGCCTGGAGCCCGTTTCCGATTCTGTGTCTCCCTCTCTCTCTGCCCCTCCCCCGTTCATGCTCTGTCTCTCTCTGTCCCAAAAATAAATAAATGTTGAAAAAAAAATTAAAAAATAAATACTTCATTTAAGACATACAGCATAGTAAAATGCTGAGGTGCCGAAGGTGCAATTTGGTGTGACCACTGCACAGATAAATATATAGAGAATAATGTGTCCAACACCTAAGCAATAGAGCTTCTTTTGGTCCTTTCCAACCATGGTTGGTCCCCCTACCACCACCACCACCACCGCCGCTGCTGCCACCACCGCTATTCTGCCTTGCTTTGAATGTTCTTTAACTTCATATAAAAGGAATTATACAGTATGTAGTTCTGTGACTGGGTTCCCTGAGCAGTTGATGTAGATAGCTGATTTGCTATTTCCAAGTAGAAGAAATATAGTAAGTAGAAGTCTCTCATCCATTGATCTTCCTTTCTTCTTCCTTCCTTTTTCCTTCCTCCTTCCTTCCTGCCTCTTTTTTTTCTTTCTTCTTCCTTTCTTTCTTTCTTTCATCTTAAAATTTAGAGAAGATGCATTACATGAACTATATTCATGTATAAAAGGAGATAGTTCCTAACCGAATCAATAAAATTCTTACTGTGTATTATAGGGAATAGTTTCTTAGATTCTTTTTACCTTAAAATTTAAATCTTGGGGCACCTGGGTGGCTCAGTCGGTTAAGCATCTGACTTCAGCTCAGGTCATGATCTCACAGTCTGTGAGTTCAAGCCCCGCGTCGGGCTCTGTGCTGAAAGCTCAGAGCCTGGAGCCTGCTTCGGATTCTGTGACTCCTTCTCTCTCTGCCCCTCCACCTCTCACGCTCTGTCTCTCTCTTTCTGTCTCTCAAAAATAAACATTAAACAAAATTTTAATCTTATGGGACTCCTGGGTGGCACAGTAGGTTAAATGTCTGACTCTTAATTTTGGCTCGGGTCATGATCACAGTTGATGGGATCCGGCCCCACAGTTCAGACCTCCTTGGGATTCTCTGTCGCCAGTTGGCACGTGTGCACGCTCTCTCTCGCTGTCTCAAAATAAATAAATAAACATTAAAAAATAAATAAATTTAGGGACACTTGGGTGGCTCAGTCAGTTAAGCATCCAATTTTGGCTCAGGTCATGATCTTGCGGTTTGTGAGTTCAAACCCTACATTGGGCTCTATGCTGACAGCTCAGAGCCTGCAGTCTGCTTCAGATTCTGTGTGTCCCTCTCTCTCTTCCCTTCCCCAACTCCTATGCGTGTGCACTCTCTCTCTCTCTCAAACATAAACTTTTTTTAAAAAATACATCTAAATCTTGAAAAATAAAATTTAAATCTTGTTTCATTTATATTTTATTTTGTGAAAGAGAGAGTGTGTATGTACACAAGTTGGGGAGGGGCAGAGAGAGAGGGAAAGAGAATCCCAAGCAGGCTCCACACTGCCAACACAGAACCTGATGTAGGGCTTGAACCATGAGATTGTGAACCATGATGAACCATGAGATTATGACCTGAGTCAAAACCAAGAGTCAAATGCTTAACCAACAGAGCCACCCATGCACCCCTGTAATAGGATATTTATTAATGGTTGTTATGACTAGGTATAATTGTTTTGTGTGTATAATGAATGGTTAGTATCATCATCAATGAATGAGTCTTTACTCTGGCTTTGAGATCTTAAGTTCAGAAATACTACTTTCTGACCACAACCTTGTATATTTGTTTATACATCTTCTACTCCCTTACTCCTATGAAACTTATTCTTTGACTTAAAGATATTTAGTGTTGAAACCATCTCTGTTATTCTAGTCTGTTAGTCCATTCCTGGATTTATTTACTTTTTCCATTCCTCCAAATCTTCACTATTTTACATTATTTATTTATTAAGCTTTCTAATTATTACTACCAGACTTATTTTGAGCTTCGATGACCTTGAATTCTAGTTAACAGATAAGCTCTCCTCACCAGCACCTCTGAAGATAGCTATAATTCCTCCTGTAACTAGCGTCAGCCCTTCTCTCCTAGTCTTCTGCACTCTGTGTTCTGGAGGTCATCCTCCAAGATTTTGCTTCATCAGTTATTTCCTCAGATTTTCATTTTTCTTGATCTCTACTGGCCACAGAACCTGATGATCTTCAGGCCTTTAGATTTCACCAACTATTAAGTTTTTTAATTGCGAAAATGTAGGTTCCCCAACTTTTTATTTTGTCAAGAAAATATATTTAAAAGCAGTATAACAGCGCGCCCTGGGTTGGCCCAGTCAGTTGAGAGTCACTCTTGATTTCGGCTCAGGTCATGATCCCAGGGTAGTGGAATCGAGCCCTGCATCGGGCTCTGTGCTGAATGTGGAGCCTATTTGGGATTCTCTCTCTTTCTGACTCTCTCTCCCTGCTTGCATTCTCTCTCCCTCTCTAAAATAATAATAATAATAATAATAATAATAATAATAATAATAATAATAAATTTAAGGAGTGCCTGGGTGGCTCAGTCCATTAAGCATCCAACTCATGGTTTCACTCAGGTTATGATCTCACTTTTCATGAGATTAAGCCCCACGTCAAATCCCCTGCTTGGGATTCTCTTTCCCTCTCTCTCTCAAAATAAATAAACTTGAAAAAAAAATAAAAGCAATATAACAAACAACAAAAAAACCTCTGCCATTAGGGGTGCCTGAGTGGCTCAGTCAGTTAAGCATCCGACTTCAGCCCAGGTCATGATCTTACAGTTCGTGAGTTTGACACGACAGCTCAGAACCTGGAGCCCGCTTCGGATTCTGTGTCTCCCTCTGTCTGCCCCTCTG